AAGCCACACACTCTAATTGTTAGCAATGAGCAGGCAACCCAGACGAACTTGCCTCGATCCGACGAAGGTTTTCGCCTGGGTACCCACGCATATCAAGTTCTGAGGCCCAAAGCACGCGAGACCCCAATTTCTCCTGCTACGGGCCATCTCAGTCGATGGTAACCACAATGTTCCACCGCCAACAACAACCGCACAAAAAAAAATTTACGCAAAGATAATTGCTGCGACCGCACACGAGACAAATTAACACCCTTATTGGGTACGCCTGCCTAACGTGTCCTCACGTGGGTAAATGTCTTCGTCCTGAACAGGCGGTGTGGTTCTGGACGGAGAGCACCAGAACGTCGTACCCATAAGGAGCCGGACACATGCCGCAGTTTTTTCGTGGCTGTGTCTTTAGTTGTAATCCCAGTGGCGATCTGTTCATCTGTCATACTGATCATACAGTCAATAACTTTGTTGTTATTAGCATCTGGTTAGCTAAGCTATGCTATATAAGAAGCTTTTTCTACAACCAGTGAGGTAAAGGCACATCTTTATATGATCATTATAGTTATAAAAAAACAAAATAATAAAGTAAACAGGTATAAAATACTATATGACAGTAAATAAAAGTTGTTATTAATAAACAAGAATACAGTTTGAAAGGGGAGTGATTTGTAAAATATCCATAAAGAAAAATAAATCTGCTTCCAGTTCTGTTTCATATGGATGTTGAGAGATGTATCCATAGATCTCCTAATGTTGCTCTCAAAGTGCACCAGATTGATGATTTTAACTTCAACATTTAAAAAAAAATCTTCCCGGGGGAGTCTGCCCCTCGGACCCCACTGGAGGAGGTGAGGACCCCCCTAGAGGAGGTTAGGTCCCCCCCACTTAAATCAGTCCACATGGATAGGAAACTAAATACTTTTGCACACATCTTGTGTCCAATATACTTTCTGTTTTGGTGGTCATGCCACAACCGTGCACGTGAATGCATGCACGAGTCATGGTAAAATATCTGGATTAAGAGGTTGCTTTTTCTTTGCACGGCATGAAAGAAAGGCGAAATGAATGGGCTGTGATTTTAGTATTTTTAAGCAGAGGTCAATCATTTGTAAGGCCCTCGGAGGATGTTGAAAAATTTGAAATGGCCCTTGAGAGGAAAAAGGTTCCCCACCCCTGTAATAGAAGGATGTGTTAAAATTGCTTTAAAACTTTAACATCAGAGAGCACTGACAACCTATTTTTTTTATGTTAAATCTCTCGTTCATGCACATTTCTTTAGTAACATAACAGACTCTTATAAGAATAAATGTGTTCATGTAAAAAAAGAGAGTTAACCATAAATAAAAAAGCTGCTTTGCTTGCTATCATGAAAAAAACATGACAAAAAGCCTGATTGATACAGAGGCTATAATGTCAGCAAGAAAATGCAAAGGGCTAGTATTAATAATATTTCTATTTATGCATGGGAAACTTATGATTTATGATGACCTTATTTAAGATAAGATCAAATATCCATATTAACATCAGCCTCATCTATATCTAGCCTTAAGTTCTTAACCTATTAACCCAGGCAACCCTTCCTCTGCAGAACCCTAGACCTCACACACTGGGCTCTGGTGACCTCTTACCTCCGGGCACGCTGTACCAGGCCCCTCCGTTAGTGATGCCGTCTTTGAAGCTGGAGTCGTCGTCGTTCTTACGGCAGGGGGGGCGGTTGGGGTCGGACATGACTGGGTTGTACATGGAGTAAGACTTGGCCAGAGACTTGAACACAACATCATCTGGACTGGAGCTGTACTCATGAGTGGAGCCTGAGAGGAGGAACGAGAGGGAAGGGAACACACAAGAGCACAATGTTTACACAGCGCCTGGGATAAAGTATTAATTAACTAAACACCTTCATCTGAAACGAATTAAAGGCATGCCTGCGCAAAAACATTTAGTTTACTTTGAGTAATAAATGCACAGGAAGCAGTAGAACGAAACATTCTCCATCTGATTTAGATTAAAGTTACGACTTTCTGAGTGTTTGTTGTTCCATGTAAAGGTCAAATATATGTCTCATTAAATCTGTGGAAGAATTCTCATAACGACTGAGGGAAAAAATGTACACAATGAGCAGTAAAATAGGGCTGGGTTTGAGATTGTGTGTCCAAATTGTGTGTTAATGTACCAGTGCGGGTCTCATCATATGGGTAGTTGGCCACCACGTCTCCTCCATGCAGGTTAGCTGACAGCACGAAGGGGATATCCATGATCCAGTGAATCACTGCTTTGGTCTCTGGAGCCAGCTGCAAAGAAAAAACATCACTAATACTGAAAAATACATAATGCACCTAAAAACAAGTCCAAGAGGCATTTCGGTATCCAAAATATTTCCTTACTTACAACCTACACACACCTGATGTCCTTAAAAACCTTTTCTTGTTGATCCTATTGATAAGTGATGCCTGATGTAGTTTATAGTGTTTGTGCCACAGAGCTTCATTGTTCCTTATAAATGAAACACATCACACTGCTGCACTAGGGTCCATGTTAACAGGCTCTATAGTTTATCATAAACCTGCAATGATCTGCTTTTAGCCCAGTTGATATCAGTAAAAACCGCACTGACATATCGTCACCTTTTGAGATGACATTCCAGGCCGAGTAGTCTCTTTTAGCTCTGGTCTAGGTCACCCTAACCCAGGGGTCTGCAACCTTTTTGACCAAAAGAGCCATTTTGCCCCCTTTTCCAGCAATTGTTTTTGTCTGGAGCCGCAAAACATATTTGATAGCTTGATAGCTTATAAAGTTGTATATATTGTTGCATCATAGACATGCATTTATTATTTATTACATTATAGAAAACTGTTTACCTCTAATAATAAACAAATAGCTCTTATAAGGAGAATTTAAAAAAAATACACAGGCCTACTTTAAAATAAATCAACACAGCACTTGGGGAGTCCTCTGCACATTTGAAGAAAATTAAAATGGGCCCACTTTGAAATAAATAAAACATATAGCTGCACCCTAAAAAGAGTTAACTGATTGAATTATGACTGAAGATCGTCCTCTTCCGTGTTTTTCCTCCAATGCTGTAAATACCCCTCAAGGAAACCAAATGTTTATGTAATAGGGTCTGAAGACGTGCACATCTTACTCCTGTTTCAGTAACACTGTACATGTCAGATTTCTTTTTGTGTAAAATGTTACACTTTATAAATGTGTGACCCATTTGTAGAGATTAACATGGTCAGTAGGATGAAATGGGTTAAGGCTGACCACCAAAGACAAAGTATTTATGGATGCTTTTATGTTTTCATGGGTTTGGTTGGTGATAAAAAGTATGAGCAGCCATTTTAACCATTCATACCGTCTGCTTGCGGTCCCTTTAATCCCATGTTCTCTGTGTTTGTGTACCTTGGTGTTTTCTTCCACAGCCTTCTTCATGTTCTGCAGCAGGTGGTTGTTGGCTCCACCCTCCTTCTCATTGATGTAGATGATGCGGTCCAGATCGGGGAAGTTACGGTTCAGATCCACGCCCTGCGCGTTACTGCGGCCCACAAACCAGTCCTTAATCTCTCCGGGCTGAGCAGGAAACAGGAGATGATATTCAGACACAAAGCTTTAACACATACTAATGCTCCTCTCTATGTGTCAAGAGCCGTGTTGGCTAAATCTGTTGTCTTGTAATCTTGATCTGTCTGGTGCTAAAGCCTCAGATCAGGTTTGTTTACTGGGTGTTATTGTTGTGCTGTTTCATCACCTGAGAGGCGGCCTTCTCGAATCCATCTGGATTCATGGAGGGCATCAGGTGGATGCGAGTGTTGTGGACGAGGTCGATGATGGTCTCGTTGCCTTGCTGGTACTGGTTGCACAGGTACTCAGCCAGGTAGATGATCAGCTCTCTGCCCACGGCCTCGTTTCCGTGCATATTGCCGATGTACTTGAACTCAGGCTCACCTGCAGGGAAGACATAAACAGAGATTTAATTCCACATCATTTATTCCACTTCATTCTGTACAGCGTTTGTACAGCTCATAGCGAGATCATTAACTGAAAACAGGAATGTGTTACAAAGAAGGAGGTTGAATGTGAATGCACCTTTTACCAGCCAATCACATAAGGCCACAGAGCGAAATATCACAATAACGTCACAATATTTGTGAGAAAAGGCCATTTTAGTCATGGAAAACCAAAGAAGAGAAGGTCACTGATAAAGTCATTTGTGAGGGAGTTTACCCTGGACACACACACAAACACTCCCACACAGATCTATAGACTATAACGCTAGTTCTTCACGCTCCAGCAGGGACAAACAAACTGACTCATCAGCTAAAAGGTTAAAGACAATTTAACACAGCAGTGCAGGACTCCATTTGGACACTAAAGAGCGACAGACAGTGGATTATTGACCCACACTGTCACAGATTGGTCTGCCTGAAACTTGTAAGAGGGATGGATCTGAGGTTAGAGACGACTTCACTCCAGGACATGATATGGAAAAAAATTGTATTTTTGTAAGATATGGGCCCAAAATCATGCTGTTTATAGCTTGTAATGAGTCATCCTTCATTACAGCATTAACAAAAACAAAAGCAATGCATATTCTCAAATTCCAAATATAACATTCAAGTACTTTATTAAGAATATTATACATTTTGTAATATACAGACACAATGATCTTAACCCTTTTTACATGTGAAAAGTGTCTGAATTTAAGTTTTTTGATATTGACATGTGAAAAGCCTTTTTCTCAACTAAACAATGCTTTTATGACCAAGATTGCAAGGAATTTGTTTTTGTAATAAACCTTTTAAGCCAGTACGTTTTTTCTACCAGCAAAAAAGGTAAAAGCCCACTCTTCTGCTCTAATTGTAAGTGTGTTTTTTCCTATGCAAAGCCATGGATAAACAGGCATGGTGACAATTGTTTAGCTTGATTTCTTTATAAATGACTTAAACGATAAATGCATTTTATAATTATCTTACTACTAATACAATCTTAAACAAAATGTTGTTGACCATGTTGTCATCCAACATGACTGCTTTCCTTTACCTGCCTTTCTTCATCATCATCAGGAGATATTGGTTTTATATGTTGAGCTTTTGATATCGGTGTGCTCAGTAAAGCTGTGTTTTAATGACCCGGCTCCAACCATCTGTTTACTACACTAATTAGCTGTTTCCTCTCTGAATCACTTTGTGCAAGCTTACAGTATACAAACACATAAACACATTAGCTAAAGTGCTACTAAGGAGTTATATAAAGCCGTGCACAAAAGGACAAAGAGGATGACAAAGTAGGTACTGTGGCCACTCTTTTGATTAGCTACAAACCAGAGAACAGTGGCTTTCTGTGGCTAGTCGGGGAAAAAAATCCAGTTTTTATTGAGGTGCTTTTTTTTGTGTGTTTTAATGTTTTTACCTCTATTCTGATCGGGCGATTTCCAGGGATTCTTCTCCTAATTCCCATCATTAAGTTCAATTTGTTGCTTGTATAAAAGTAATGCTTTCAAGATGAATTTATACATGTGTGTCAATATTTGCATCTTCTTGATCCAGTGTAGAGTTTTTTCTTGAGTGTTTGATGTTTCCCAGTGGCTACACACACACACACACACACACACACACACACACACACACACACACACACACACACACACACACACACACAAAGTTGTACTCTGCCTAAATGAATTAGTATGTCTCAAACTATTACACAGATGCTCAGTATCTGGAGGCCTTCCCTTACTCCTACACATGTAAGAATTAATGAATTTGAGAGGCAGGGGGGTAATGGTAATTTACGGCATATAGATGTTTGTATTAATTAGATTTATTGTAATTTTTGCTACTTGTGCTTATGTAAAATAACTATTTGAAGAGATATGCAAACAAGTTTAGCCATAGGTGGATTCTCTGCACGAAGGCAAGCAAGAAACTAGGACAAATCAAAATGTCCTTCTTCTCTCCGGAGCTACCAAGTGTTGTTCTACCTTATTTCTCTGTATGTCAAACTGTCTGCACCTCTCTGAGCTTTTACTCTCCTGTGCAAACACATGACAGGACACTTGAAGTAAATTAAAAGGTTCACATGTACATTTTTCATACTTCACATAAGGGCAATGTGGTTTTTGGACAGTTTATCATTTTCCATTTGCGTTTTACAATCATAAACGATGTTCACGGATTAATTTGTTATATGCAAAACATCATTTTATGTATTTGGTAAATGCACAATAGGGTAGATTTAAATAAAAAAACTTGGAGAGTGTGCACACCCAAACCAAATTGGGTATAGACACAGGACGACAGCAGTGCACAAAGGAAAACGAAGGGTAGTCCGCACTCAAATTATTGTAAGCTCCAAAAAACTCTAAGCATTTTGACCGTTAAAGATTTTCTTCAGGCAAATATGTGTTCAAAGAATGATGGGTGTTGTGTTCTCAAAATTGAAGGACGAGCTGTCATTTTTGTCTGTAACCAACTCCATTAAAGGTCAGCAATTTGTGGAAAATACGGTTTCCCAGAGGTTGTCTTAAAAGGTCTTGTGTTATCCAATGCACTATTTTGTTACTAAAACTAGCAAACATGGAGGTTTTATATATATTTGTATCCTTAGTCAATCATCAAAACAAATCATTTAAGTAATTCATTGTTCTTGAGCCTATAGAAAGCCAGCTTTGTGTTAAAGAACATCTTGAAAGAAGATAGAAGCTTTGTTTAATTTTAGATATTTAGTGTGTGTACAACCTCTCCTCCTTTAGTTTCAATAGTGTGAAAAATTAGAGAGAGTTACTATAGATAGATATCCCTGAGTGTGTGTGTAAAAGTGTGATGTTGCTCCTCTCCTCACAGATCATATAACACATCTAAGGCAGACAAAACCTCACTTTATTATCTTTCGCTTTATCAGGACTAATCACAATGTGCCTGGCAGGTGATCAATACAGTCTCCATGGTGACCACGTAACAATGACTGCAGCCAGTCATTAGGGAAGCACCCTATTGAAGTGCTCTTAGTCGTCGTGGCAACACTGACACGGGCAGGTGCTTAGGGAGACAAATCAACTCGGAGGATGAGTAAACACACTCAGACTGTCTGCCTCAGACAGACAGACAGACAGACAGACAGACAGACAGACAGACAGACAGACAGACAGACAGACAGACAGACAGACAGACAGACACAATAAAACATTATAAAACAGCTGTACAACGTGTACAAAGTCTGTAGACCGTTTACAATCGAGCTTCTTCTGTAACTCAACCTCCATTTCTCTCTGTTTTGTATGTTTTATATTTAGATTATCAAAAAATATATATACACCAAACAACTGATGTGATGCCCACTTAAACAGGTTTTCTTAATAATACTTTAAGATGCCTATGAGGATGCCTTTAAATGTATCATGTTGTCCGACAAAGAGTCCAGACCTCAGTTGACTCATATTCTTCATTTTAACAAACACATACAATTGGTAACAAATGGTAGCATTCACCGACAACAACCAAAGAGACTGGAAAACTCATTTGACATGTTTTAGCTTTTTCAGAAGATTTGAATACAAGAAGTAAACCAACAGTGAAAGGAGAGTGAAAAGAGGTGGGGCTTTGGCTGCTTGTATGGCCAATACACAGCGTGACATGAATCATGCTTGTTACCCAGCATGTTGAGATGCAGCATATGGTGGAAAGAGAAGCACAATTCAAATGTTTGCAGAAGAAGGAAAGAAACAGAAATGAAGCTTTGTCAACAGAAGAAGCAAATCAACACAAAGAAGAAGAAGGAAAGCAGAGTGAAGGCAGAGCGGAGGAGGATGCATGTCGGAGTCTGATGTATAATAAATGACCTCTGGCTGATGGCTTGGCCTTTCTCTCCTCTTTCCGTTTCTGCTTCTCCCTTATTCCCTCTACGTTCTTTCGCCCGTACTTCTTCTTGTCCCTCATCGCCCTTTCACTCCTGTTACATTTCCCGTTTTCTCAATCATCATTCCTTTCTTCTTTTTTTTTTATCTCATCCTGTTCTTCCTCTCAGCTGTTTTTGCTATCTGTGCCTGAAGAGGCTCCGCACAGCTATAATGGCCTTTCAATGCACTGGGATTGCACTCTATTCTCCTCCACTGTATGGATACTATTAAACCCATGTCTGCCTGTTTTTCACTTTATATTCAATATGTAATGTGATACATATCCAGCGGTGTAGCTGGCTGCTACACATATGACCGAGCATCTGTGTGCGTGCTCACTGGAGATTACATACTTCCTGTGTCGTCCGATAAAACACTCCAGCGTCTCCCCTATATGAGAGGGTCCACAGTATATTGAAGCAGTGCCTCATACTGACTTTTTTTTTTGCACCTTCAGACAAAGCCAAAACCATTACAATATAGGGTTTCTCCTCACACTAGAAGCTTTGTAAATAGTTCCAGACATGAGAGTCAGAAGAGTTTGGCCGGAGCTCATTTCACCGCAGAGAAGCCGCTCTTTTCAGCCCTTAAACACTCCGATATGGCCCAGCTGCAAGAAGTAAACACCTCCTCCTCCTCAAATGAGAAAACATGTCAGCGCTGATGAATGGTTGGCGGAATATTGAAAATCTTTAACTCATAGTTTCTATATTTGAAATTCAGCCAGTATTATGATCATGCCAGTAAAACAGTACATTTACACTAAAGCTTTGGTAATAGTGAGGAATTCAGGTGTTGGTAGAGGTTTTGTTGGACAGAGCCAGGCTAGCTGTTACCATTCTTTGTGCTAAACTTAGCTAACCTAACCGGCTGCTGTCTCTGGCTTTACGCAGTTTAGCTAGATGACATAGTATCAAACATTTTATCTATAACCTCTGTAGTCTACATTTACTTGTAAGGGATATACCCGGCTCTTTATCTGCTAATTGTTCATGTTTCTTCACCAGCTAGTCTCTAGCTCTCAGGTAGCGCTAGCTAGAGATTTCTTGTTGAGAACAGTTGCCTGCTGCAGACAGAAACGGCATTGATGGAAGCGGAGAGAGTTAACCTAAAGGAAGGCTTTTAGCAGGATGTAAAACCAAAACAATGTGTTTAATGACTGATTGGGAAACACTGCTTTGAAGGAACTTAGATGGGAACTGCAGCATTAGAGTCCCTTTTCACCAACAAGTAGTCAGGTGATCTGTTGCTAATATAAAAATAATGACTAAAAACTATTTAAGAAGAGTATTAGAGTAACTTGAGTTTATTCCAACCACTGTATGGTTCCTATACTGCATAGATTTATATGAATATGTTACCAGTGTGTTTACTCTCTGGGCTATAGGCATTTCCTGTGCTGCAGTGTGACAGATGGCTGCTCACCGACAGATGAGCCCAGGACCGTCGTCCTCCGTCCAGCCAACCACGAGCTGCCCGTCAGCTCAGTGCACTAAGCCGATCTGTTTCCCCGGCAACTGCTATTTCGGCTCCACCTCAGAGTTTCAACACACTGCGAGGTCGGATAAAATATTGGTCTGTCATTTTAAAGGGGAATCTTAAAAGAGGTTCCTGTCCTTGTAGATTTCACACACACATTTATCTAAACCATCTTCCTTCACTCTCCTTTTGACATGTCAGTCTCTGGAGCTCTTTTCCTCTGTTTCATCCCCCTCCTTGCTGTGGACGTTTTGCTTAGCAGAGGTAGAAGGAGAGGAACAGAGAGAGGAGGGAGGGGGTGCTGCCCCTGTTGGAAACTCATCTGGTAGTAATAAGGTCTCCACTCCGCTACTGTGACTCATGCCGACGCACGCCCACCAGACTATTACGGGCTTATTCAGTACGCACATACGGTCATTAGACTCGGTGACCATGCAGCTAAACACACACGATCTGTGGTGCACCGTTCAGACCGCACAGAGAAGAAAATACACCTTTACATGAGACATATAGTTAAAAACACCACAAACTGGCCTGTACCCATATAAAGTGTAATTATAGGCAATGTTTTTTCTTTTTTTTTTGAGGGCTGTTTCAGGGTACTTGGAAGAAATTAATCACTTCCTGCTGCAACAGTTAAACCTCCTGTTTGTTTTGAGAGTCAGACTGAAATCACTGACGGGTATACATTCATTAAGGTTAAATGTATCCTTTAAATGTGGAATTACTGCTTTTGGTGCACTGATGTTTTCATTTTGTGGAAGTTTTATGGTTAATATTAATCTGTATATTGAATTAATAATACACATATTTTACATTGTGTAAAAAGTCCAGTGAATTCTTTTTTAAGCTTTTGTGCGGTAATGGTTACGGATTCTTCACCTCATGCTCATATATCTCAAAATGAATGATTTCACTAATGCAAATTATTTTTGATATGTCGATTTGTCTGCCCTATTTTGGATTATAAAATGTCCAATTTGGTTTTGTTATTTAACAAAATGTATTCATGAAAATATATTGTTGTCTTGAATTGACTTATTTCCATTATTGAAGCTAGATCATTTTCACAATCTTTATCAAGATTGAGATTCTGACTATTATATTATAAAAGCTATATTTTGCTATGGTGTGATTTCATTCCAGATTGATGTAAAACACAAAAGGGAAGAAGTAAAGGAACATGTAATAGAAGCTGGCTCTCCATGTTCGTCTCCATCTAACAGCTTGAGGTAATCTAGGCCATGCTCCTCCATTTTCAAAAACACTTTTGAATAGTGATTCTTTTTTTATGGTGACATTTGAGAATTGTTTTCTACTCCTGCTGTTTCATGGCCTATATCCTGAAGCCATCAGAAGCTTTAAAAGGTGATGTTGATCTCCTTAATGCACTCAAGTGATAAAACTGAGACATTTTCCCCATTTGAGGCGTGACTTAAGAAAAAGGAGAAGGTGCTTTGCATCTAAAAGCAGCAGTGGTGGTCTGCAGTTCCTGTGGCTGGTGAAAACTGCCCTTCAATCAAAAGGTCTCACATATGCTGACTTCTTCTACTCTATGGATTCCACCAGCCTGCAGTCGGGACCTGACAACATCAAGGAGGGTGATGGAGATGCAGGGAAGTCAAGACATTACTCAGATCCACTAAGAGACACCATAACTAGTCCAACCCTATCAAGACTTCATATAATATTCAGTCAAAGGCTTCCTCTTTTGAAGGCCTTGCATGGAATATTTTCTCTCATATGCTGCAACCAACACCACTGACACATCTGCTTTTGATTGGGAGTCATATAAACTCATATGGCAGCCCAAACGAGCCGGGGCAATATGATCAGCCCCGTTTGGCATGTTTTTCCCAACATCACGACTCGGTATAAGCACGAAGAGATCTTTATCAACCAGCAAAATGGCGGCTTTGCGTGGCTGATCCCACAATCTATCATCTAGAAACCTCTGAAGTGATGCAGCAGGCCCCTGAATGCACCGCACACACCTGCGCTCCTCCTCTGCTCTTCCCAAGTCATTTCAGCCCCCATCAGCCACACGGATGGTCTCTAATTAACCCTCACATTAAATAAACGCACCTGCAGCCTGCTATGCGCAATAGTGCGTGATGTGTTGGTGTTATTATCACAGCTTGTTATAATGGGTGAAGGAAGTCGGGGGACAAAAGGCAGCAGGGATGGGGTGCATTCACCGCATTATGATGACTTTCTGTATGCGTAAAACTGACCAGGTTCGTGCGTCCCGGGATTGTCTGACATCTCCAGCACCAGCAGCTCGCGGCCCTCGAAGCTCTCCCCGATGGTGTAGATGCGGGTGATGGTCGGGCACTGCAGCCACACCGACACCAGAGCCTTCCGCAGCTCCTCATAGCGGTGGTACTCGAAGGAGATCTCCCCCTCGGTGCCTGCTGCTGCCGCGCTGACTAGGGCCACTGCGGCCCCGAATAAAACTACCGAAGTGAAGAGTTTCATCTTGACGTGTCCTCTTGTCCCTAAGCCCTGTCTGTGTGTGTCGGTCCCAAGCCTTATCTCTGTGCTGCAGCTTCGCTACAGGCTATAAATATTCTCTCTCTCTCTCTCTCTCTCTCCCCTCCCTCTCTCTCCCTCTGCCCCTGTGTGATGCTCTGAGTCTGAGCGCAGACTCCCTCCAAAGTCAAGCCCACACAAGAGTTTCACATCCGGTCACAGATTTCATTAAAGTATTAAGAAACCGACAAAATAATGTCACTGTAACTATATTTTCTAAGGTTTAAATTCACGCCTAGCTACTAAATGTTCTCAGACAGACAGAAGGGTGTCGCCTTGACCATTGTAGAATCGGAGGGATGAAACCCTGTTTAATGGTCACACACAGCACACACAGTGAAATGTGGCCTCTGCATTTCCCCCTAGCGACCTCCATATTTAGGTCTGGTCGGGGACTTGAACCGACGACCCTACAGCTCACAGTCCAAGCCCCTACTGACTGAGCCACCGCCGAACATCAGATCTCTGCATTTGACCCATCCTAGTGTTAGGAGCAGTGAGCAGCCGTTAGGTCGGCGCTCGGGGAGCAGTGTAGGGACAGCGCCTTGCTCAGGGGCACCTCGGAGTCACTTGGTCGTTCCGAGACTCGAACCGGTAACCTTCCGGTTCCTAGGCCGAGTCCCTACGGACTATTGTCAGGCAAATATCAGAATCAGAATCAGAATCAGAAACAGGTGTATTACCAAGTAGGTTTACACGTACGAGGAATTTGACTCCAAGATCATATGGATCTTTAGGTTTGTAATTAGAATGTATGCAAGTTTCGTCCGTCTGGCCAACATTTCAATGGCCTGTAATGTAATTTCCCTAGAGGTGAGACTTTCCCCCCTGTTGTCTTTCTCCTGTATAAAGTGCTTGTTTTTCTGTTGTAACAGGGTCAGACCCTGGTGTTTTCTACTAGTGCAGGACCTCTGGCCTTTCCAGCTGGAAATAACATTGATTCTGTTCAATGCTATAACTCTTTATTAAATAACACAACTTTGGTTTTAGCTTGTATATTTATTATTTTCTTACCAGAAGGTGATTAAGTGTGGAATTTCCACCACATTTAGGATAACATAAAATAAGTGTTCTGTAGTTGTAGTGCAAATATGGTAAATATGCAAAAACAAAATATAACCTAAGGTATCAAAAAGGTGCAAATTCTAAATATATTTGATGCCAAAGTCAAACACAGTAGCCTACATATAAATGCTTAACAGTAAGGTGCAAATCTTAAAAGTATACAGCATGGGGTTATTTTTGATCAAGACAATAAAAACAGTCTATATTGAAACCAAAAAGACCAATCTGAATAAATGGACATAGCCATGGCAAGTAATCCAATACAACTCGGCATTTTATTACTTCCTGCTTTTTTCGTGTATCGGTATCTAATTATAAAACATCAAAACATACAACTGACTGATCTGCTCTGTTCATCTTGACTGGTAGACAATGATTGTGATGGAAATTGACATTATGAAATTATCTAATCAAGCAATATAAAGATGTCACTTTTGGCTCTCAGTTGTTTGGTATTTTTCCCTCCTTTTAATCACCAAAGGGAATATAAAGATTAAACAATAATACTGGGAGTCCAAAAACGAACGGGGTTCGACCATGTTTTGCATTCATTTCCTCATGTGTTTAATCACTTAGTTTTGGTCCATGGTATAAATAGTGCCTCACTTCCTGTTTGCTGGCTGCTGTTGGCTAACTTGACTCAGCAGCAGCAGGGGTGTGTCCACAGTGCAGCAGAGAGGAGATGAAGGGAACCTACAGCAGCAAACACACTCACTTCCTCCATCAACAGCAGTGTACTGTTAATCTACACTTATCTAAAATATGAAGGTAATCAAATGTCTTCATGTAGAAAATCGTATAAAAAACTAAAATATGTGGTTTCCCTCTGCAGCTAGTCAAGTTGCAGTTTACATCCATGTCGGTTCAACATGTCATCACTCTATAATTGTGTGAAATTATCATAAGTGTAATAATTCAAGTTTTTCCCAAAAATTGGTTTGTGAGGTGCAGTGACCTCGACCTTTGACCCCGGAAATCAAATCCTGTCATCTTTGAGTTCAAGTGAGCCAAATTTAAAGAAGAACCCTCAAAGCATTCCTGTTGTATTACGTCCTTGAGAATGGGATGCATGTACAAACATCCAGAAAATAATACGCGTAAATAAAGCTCAACACAACTACACAAAGCCTAATCAAATGTGTTTGTATATTTAAAAAAATAACACAACATATTAAAGCTTTTTTTGTAAAATCAGGACATCATTTATTTATTAACATTAACAAAATAGTCTTGAACAAATTGAAAGTTCCATATGAGCCAATCTCCTTTTATTAAAAAAATAACATGAATTTGCATCAAACATGCTTGACTTGAGTTTGGACAGCCCCCACAGAACTGTAGCTATCATGCAACGTCACTCTGACTCAGTTTAACTCAAGAGGAAGCGCTAAAGTGCTAAAACATTCAGAGGTATATGGAAGAATTTCATAAGGAAGTCATATGGTACAAACGTCATGCAATGACAAAGCAAAGCAACAAATTCAAACAGGATTTAGTTTTTTTTATTCGCAGCAAAAAAGGCCAAAAGACGGACTGAAGTTGATACAGTCCGCTGACAGGCGAGTGGATGAACAGAGATGTTTACTGCTCCTTCTTGTCTCCCAGTTTCTCCTGGTATTTGTTGAACTGGCTGTCCGTCATCAGCAGCTTGTCCCACCAGGTGAAGGTGGAGGCGTAGTTCCCAACGAAGTTCATGTGGTGGAAGTCGTGGAAGCGGGTGCCGGCGTAGAACGGGATCAGATGGAGTGGGTTCATAGGGATGTCATAACCACTGAGAGAGAAAACGATAAAAAGGGAATTAATGTCTGTCTGCTATTTATTCATAAAAAAAAGAACATTTTGTTCTTTCTTAGATCTAATAGGTCAATATTTTCTATTTAAAGCATTCTCGAAGAAGCTTTTCAAATGAGACGCACATTTTGAAATTATCAATAATTATGTTTGTGTTTGTCCTGATTACGTGATGCATATAGTTTGATTCTGTTTTCATGTTGCTGCTAATGGTTGAATATGAAAAGATGGCTAGTTTTTCTATTGCACTGCACATTTTCCCATTAAAACAATATTTGTGTTTCTCTTATATTAAACACTGTTGCACTATTGGCTAAATAAAGTATTTTATGTAAAGATGAAAAAAACCTGACTTTTGTCACAAGCATTGTTTTATTTTAGATGGTATATTTTTTTTAAAGGGTTACAAATGACATTTGTTTGTAGTTTATTAAAGCAAGTCTGCAGGATAAATGCTAAGTCAGTACTTAGTACTTAAAAATATGGAAGATATAATGTATTTAATAATAACTACCTAAAGGAGTTCTTTGTGATCTGATAACATCTGGTGATCTGTGTGGCCCTCTAGTGGTCACCGCTATACATTACTGACATGTAACATACGAATTGTGCAGTGTATTGTAATCAGTGATGTGTTGCAGTCAATGTCTCTCTTGAGTCATAGCATTAAGCAGTCCATGTGAGCTACATTTCTACCTGCAGAAAGTGATGAAAAGGGAAGAAAAAAAACGAAATGACAGGAAGAAAGTGTCCTACCTGTGGACATCGATGGTCTCCAGCAGGCGGAAGGACACCCAGGCCCACAGCAGGAACACGTGGTTACAGAACATCATGATGCCGATGAAGAAACCTGTTCCCAGGATGAGAGTCTCAGCAGGATGAGCGTACTCTGCCTGCATGCCGAACGGAGACTGAGGGACAGAGGAAGAATGTAATGAAGACTATTCAGGTGTGGTGTTTAAGTAAAGACAATAACCAGAGTGGTGTGTGTATTTATCTTATCACTTGTGTGTTTTACTCACGGTGAACTCGTGGTGGACTTTGTGGATGTGTTTGTAGATCTTGCGGTGGTGCAGCGCGCGGTGCAGGAAGTAGTGCCAGGTGTCTTCAACCACTGCGCAGCCGAAGCACTGAGCCACTACGTACGGCCTGGAGGAGGAGACGAGGAGAGAGAGGAGGGACATCCTTAGAAACGCACACTGAGATATTCAAATTAACTGTGACCGGTGTATCCCGCTGAATGCGGTTAGTGTAAAGAATGTAATTTCTTAAAACTGCCATTTCATCTCTTTTTATGTGATTTTTCTCATATTGCCTACATATGGATATTGCACTAACATTCCTAAAAAAATGTTTTTTGTTTTTTTCAATCTCGCGATCGACGTATTGGGCACCCCTGCTCTATTTGTATAATTTACGTTATTGTCAACAAGTGGAAAATATTCTTTTGTTTCTTTTAAAGCAGTATTACATGCAGGCATTTTCTTTCGTAAAGCAGATTGATGAAGGCATGAGAAACACCTTTCTCGTTTTAAAAAATACAATAATTTCTGCTGGATATCTATGCGTCATTAAATTGAATGCTTTTCAGAGCTTAAACGTTACCATTATCATAGATAGCCAGTGTTGGGCAAGTTACTTCCAAAATGTAATATATGTGACCTGCTCTATCGAAATCAGTCGCATTGACCCGAAGACACATTTTGCACACACACACACACACACANGCTATTTAGCTTTCCAGGCGATGCTGCCTACCTGCTCGATGTAGCTGACCAGTGAGTTGCGGTTCTGCTCCCAGTAAGTCTTCAGGTTGTCCTCACTGGGGAACCCCAGTGAGGACAACCTGAAGACTTACTGGGAGCAGAACCGCAACTCACTGGTCAGCTACATCGAGCAGGTAGGCAGCATCGCCTGGAAAGCTAAATAGCTCTATCTCAGGGAAATATAGTAAATGGGGTAAATAAAAATCGGTAAGATGATGGTCGAGAAGTCTTTGTACTTAAATAATATAAACAACTTGTTTGTGAGTTGTACTGTTCTAAAGGGGACAACAGATGCATTTTCTCCTTATCATTTTCTATGACACCTTTTTTGGCCAAGTAAGGGCTAAGTAAGATCAACGATTACGACTTAGTTAAGGTTGGGCAAAGATTGCCTTCATGGGGAAACCAGTGTTGACTGTTGTCAGAGGATGTGACATAAACTGCTGTCTCACAGTTTCAAAGTCACAACCATCCACCCTAACCTCAGAGGTTTTCTTCATGCATGACAACACAACACCACTTCCACTTTTGTTACTTAAAGAGTCCATTGTTAGCATTATTGCAAAATGTACATTTAAATCCCATTAAACCCATTTCCCGCCCTGTTTCCCTGAACCAAACATTGATTATTCCTCTTGGTGTGTTTGTAGGTTCACCGGGGTGTAAAGGGCTTTGTGCGTGACCTCCAGGGAAGCCCCATTTTCAATGCCAGCATCTCTGTGGAGGGCATCGACCACGACATCACCACAGGTATCAGCATCCAGTGAAAATTCACACAATCCTGACAACCATGTATAGCTCAGTGACATGAGGTGTGCCACGAATGTAATGTATGATGTTGTAATGCCCTCTGGTGGACAAACTCAGTAGTGCATCACTTTCTTAGCAGCTCTGTTGGGTGCTTTTTTACATGTATTAATGAGAAAATCTGTATTTTGTAGCCAAAGATGGAGACTACTGGCGCCTCCTTGCTCCAGGAAACTACAAAGTGGCAGCCACTGCCCCAGGATACCTGACGGTCATCAAGAAGGTGGCTGTTGCCTTCAGCCCTGCAACCAGGGTGAGACTCACAGACACACAACTCTGTCTCACATTCACTGTGTGCTCTCTTTTTGTTTCCAAAAAGGTAGTATACAAGAAGTGCTTTTTGCTGAATCTCGAACTGCTGATTTATTGTGAATATTTTAATATGGGAGCATGTGAGTAAGAAATTACCTGATTTGGTTACGGTACACATATGTACAGTAGGGGGACTGACTACCAAGAATTGAGATAAACCGTTTTTATTTTTTTATAACAATATGTTTATCAAGTTACATTTAATTTATAATAAAAAAAGAATGAACATTATGTATCCATATTTAAATGTATCCAGTATTATTCTATCTAAAACATATACATAATATAAACATACAGATTAATGACCAAACAAAATTTAAATAATAAAAAAGGAAATTAACTGCTAATACATACATTGTACAATTATTTATATTATTATTAGCTGTTTTGGTCTTTTTTATGGGGCATGGTAATAAGCCTTGCTCATTTTAAGCTCTGAAGTGGGAGTCTTTACTTATCAATGAATTTGTTGCAAAATCTAAAACAATCCAGTCTATGGTAGGACATTTCTAACTTGGAATATGTAAAAGAAGAACTCTCTTTTAGTTTATTATGTCTAATCCGTTGTTTTCTCCGTCTCAGGTGGACTTTGAGCTGGAGTCTCTGATGGAGAGGAAGGAGGAGGAGCGCGAGGAGCTGATGGACTGGTGGAAGATGATGTCGGAGACTCTGAACTTCTAAAGCGTTTTGTCTGGCTGATGATCGGACCGTCTGCACAACGATGTAATATATTCAGCATTTTGTGTGGCGGTCCACTCTTAAAAGAAGAATATATTGTCTCTTTATTTGTTTTGTTCTCTTTTCGATCATTATTTTATGGATTATTACTGTTTTATTAATGTAATGGTTTGCCTCATACTCCTGTTGAATATCCTGCAGACACAGAAATAGACACAGGAGGACTTTGCAGGTAGTTTGTTGGCAGTGAGATCGGTGTTGATTTCTGTGGTATTGTGTTCTTCATCGTACACGTGATTTGGTAACCATGGCACCCATCTATATAATCAACGATTGACTGAGTAATTGTGTATGTAAAAGAGCTGTTTACATCATTACCACATGGATCCGTCGAAAATTATTCATTATTTTAACTGTTTTAAATGTCTCCGTTTCTCCAGGCTTTAGTAAAATTCAACAAAAAAAACACACTCCCTTTTGATTCACAGTAATTTGCACACACACATTAAATCTGTTTTTCTCTATGTAAAATTTGCTACGGTTTAGAGAAAGTCTGGGACATTAAAAGCACTGTAAAATTACTGTAAACATTATATTGTAAAAAATATATACATGCAGCACCGTTTCCCTGTTTGTTATCGATGTTGAGATCTCTTTTTTTTAAACTGACGGCAGCACAGCTTTGATTTTTTGCACAAGATGAATGGTTATAATATATACTGTATTTATGAACTATAGGTATAGCAAGAAATGTGTGGTTTTGTAACTTAAAAATCTAAGAAACAAGGCCATAACATCGTTAAATCAGTCCACTTGAGTCTACCAAAAGCCTTTTCCTTTGTACGTGCATTTCACAGGTAAGACTGTGGTACATAAGGAAATGTGGAACATGCACAAGTTGTGTTTTTCAAGGATAAATTAACACTAATCTTCTAAGTAGATACAGAAAGTTTAACTGACTGTAGAGATGAAGTTCACCTGGGTTGAGACCGCAGAAATAAATTATTGAATGTATATCTATAGAAACAGTTACAAATGTAAAGAATGAACTGATCAATAAAACTCCCATCTTTATGTTGTCAATCTGAAGTCCAGTGTCTACTTTTGTGTCAGCTCATTCACATTAACAGTAGCAACAAAAAGACAGAGATTAGGAGTGTCCAACATGTGAAGCAAAGTGTAGTGTGTTAAGGTACCATGTACTATTACAGCAAACACCAGATGTATATATCAAGTATTAGCTGGCATATGACATTCCATGTGAACAAATAGGCTAATATTTTGTATCTTAACAAAGACAGCAACAGTATTGTATGCCTGCCTATTCAATTGAATAACCAAATATACACCTTTAACCAAAACTGATCTAATGTATTGCATGTAAAGCACTTGGTGACTTTGTTTTGAAAAGAGCTGTAGCCTATACATAAAGTTATTATTATATTATAATGTAAAAAAAAATGCTATATTAACCCTTATCAAGCCTTCTTAGTCTTTGTCTTCTAATAATATAGAATTATGATAGTAGTCAACATAAATTAAATAAACTATTGAACATACATTTTGAGTCCCTCTGGGAAGTTTTGCAGTTATGAGTAAGTCCTTTATGCAAGATGTGGTATCACTTTCTCTTTTTTGTCTATATTTATTATTATTACGAGGTATTAGTTAATGGTTTGTGACTTAATGGTGGAGGATTTGTCAAATATTAATGTTATTATAGTGTTGTGATGTGATTATTTTTGAATAAATAAAGAAAATACACTCTTTAGGGAGTGGTTGGACTGGAGACATGTTTCAGCTTCATGGTTGCTAGGAGGCTAGTTGCCAGGCTTTAATGTGAGTGTGTTCTATAATATAACCGCTAGGAGGCTAAACAACCTTTAAACAAGCTAACAGGTGCACCACTAGCATCAAAACAATGGTTTAAAAGCAGTTTAAAAGTCGTTATGGCTAACTGGGTAACGAAAAGTCGCCTGCTTACACACCGGACAGAAGAACAACGTCGTCGCCCCCCTTAAAGTATTTTCTGATGAATGTAAGTTCAACATTGTATTACCTTGTTTTAGCTTTTGTTTATTCATCACCAACCACTTAACTTTCAGCATTAGCTTTATCGTTAGCTTGCTGATTAGTTGCTTACGTTGGTATGTTTGGTGCTTAAAAGATGACTTAACGGTTAAGGTTATTATGGTATTTAACCGGAGGTGGAAGAAGTACTCAGATCTTGCACTTCAGTAAAATTACAAGTACCAGAGACTAGGAATACTGTTTTACATTATACTCAAAGTACCAAAAGTAAAAGTACTCATTTGGCAGATCGACCCACTTCAGAATAATATCTATAATATGTTTTGATTATAATAATTATTGATGCATATATATTTATCATAGCTGGTAAAGGTGGAACACATTTTATAATTGTAGTTACTGCTGGGTATTTTACGAATGTAGTCAAAGTGTAACTAAAGTCCTATTTAAGTGCTGATTATGTTTTATATCATATATGCAAAGTAACTTAAAGTACTACATAAATGTAGTAAAGTAAAAGTACAAAGAAGCCGAAAATGAAAATACTCAAGTAAAGTACAATTCCCTCAACATTGTACAGCACTTGAGTAAATGTACTTAGTTACTTTACCCCACAGTATTTAACTGTGTATGGTAATTCGTTCATTCATTTTCAATTATTATGGGTATAAAAAGTTTTTCATTTATGTGGTGATGTCCTACTTTTTTGAAGTCTGTATCAAGTCATGTCGGTATTTTCAATCTCTCAGACGGTTTCTGTTGGAGTGCATCTGCAATGCTTCTACAACACAATGTCTCCTGTACTGTGAGTGTGAACGTACTAGCACAATATACTATAATCATCAAAATGTTAAATATGTACAGTATTGTACGAATGAGGTTTCATTTTATAACTTTAGGACTACATTAAACATTAGCCCTCCAAAAGCTGTTGGAAGGATGACCGTCTAAAGTTTGATTATAAACTGGTTGAAGTGTGGTTGAGAAAATAATCTTAGTACTTAAGTTTGGAGGAAAAGTTTGGAAATTGCCATACCCGAGTGATAGTGTATATGTAATGCAAGTTAAACAGTAGCTGTAAAACCATGTGTTCAGGTACTTACTAAAGGTCTTAATGCATAATCCATGCACATATTATTATTATTACACACACACACACACACACACACACACACACACACACACACACACACACACACACACACACACACACACACACACACACAATCCCACAAACACTCTCTCTCTCACACACACACACACACACACACACACACACACACACACACACAC